TGTGTGTGTGTGTGTGTGTGTGTGTGTGTGTGTGTGTGTGTGTGTGTGTGGACGGGTTTTTCCTACAATATGGGGACAATTTTCCCCCAACAAAGTAGCCTCATGGGGACCGAAGTGAATCGTGGGGACCCGGGTCCAAATACAAATTACAAGTGTGGGGTCGGGTTCAGGACCAAGGTTTAGGTTAGTTTTAGGCTCAGGTACCTGTGAGGTGAGCTTTAGRGTAAATTGTCAGGATTAGGATATAAAATTACCAAAAAATGAGTGGAAGTCAATGTGCGGGCCCCACAAGGATATAAAACAAGTTTGTGTGTGTGTGTCTGATAGAGATGACATGAATTATTTATGAGTGTGTAAATCAGATTGTAGAGATGCTGAAGGACAGTGAAGAGCAAAAGCAGATATGTGCACGCACACACAATAAGAGTAATAGTCTAGTATTATTGATGAACTATTTTCCAGCTACATTAAAAGTTATGTGGCTTAAATTAAAGGAGGAAAACAATGAATGAAACAAATGATCAGCTGTTCATTACGGAGCTGAGATTTGTGTTTATTTAGACTAATAAAATAACATTTAAATGTTTAATTGTTTGKGTTATTTAGTTTTACAGCTCAGCGTTCATGTCTGCATTATTTCACTGCATCATGGCTGTCAGTGTTGTGGTTCAGTCTCTGTTAGCAAAATATCTCAAGAATTACTGGACAGATTTTAGTGAAACTTTCAGAACACCTCGAACTGAACGGGTTTCTGGAGCCAAATTAAATCGAGTTTAAAYTTCAGTTTCAGAGCAAACAAAAACTAAATATCAATGAGTGGYTGGTCGTTTAATTTAACGTTTTAATGAGCTGAAAGTTTTGGATCGTTGCTTCCTTCCTGCCTTGTTTTATTTATTTTGAAATAAAACACTTTTATTGCTTGTTTATTAGAGGGAAGCAGGAGAAATGAGGCGTTCAGCAGTAAAACAGCTTCATTAGGTCCAGGACCTGATGGGATTTTAAAGAACCTGGTGGACTGTCCTGCTCCCTGCCTGATGTTAGACCTGAACTTAAACTTGTCTCTGATGTATGAGGACAAATATTAACTTTAAAAAACATGACCATAATGATGATTTTCACTCTGTTTTAACAGCTAAATAAAACCTCTAATTTATACTAGCATTAAAGACAGTAAATTAGATAAATTAATTGTTTGTTTAGTGTAGATTAAACCCACAAAAACAAATAAAATCAGCCTTCCTTGAAGAAACTCAGACCGAGCAGGTTAAAGCAATGTTTCTGCTTTCTAAGATCAATAGGCTGTGGCGGCCATCTTGAATTCTTTTGACTCCAAAACTTAATCAGCTGTAGATGTACAACCAATGATTGCTTTCTGAAAGTTTCAATAAAACTAACTAATAACTAAGCAAATTATGAGATATTTTGCTAACAGACAAAGTCAAAATCTTTACTGCCTCTTTGCTGATAGGTAGATAATTGTAAACGTGGTTTAATAAAGTGCAGCAT